TGGCAATAGCCTTTTTATATGTCTTTCATGACCAAACACAAAGCCAAAAAAGCTTGAAGGCAAAGTTCACATGACTGCACAGACCAATGGTCATGAGCAGGACTGTGTTTGGCAGTGTCCTCCAGGTGTTCCATGAAGAAGCTGGGAGCACGAGGACAGCAGGTGGCCATGTGGCCTGGTGGGCCAGGCAGCCCTGCTCCCCGCCTGCTGTGCTGGCCTGATATTGGCAGAGCTCCTTCTATGCTTTAGGCTCCAGGCTAGAGGACAAGTTTCATGTCTGTCTCCCCTGTAGCTCCAGCTTTATCTCTTCTTGGCGGAATGATCCAGGAGCTTCCCCCAGTCCGCCATAACCCTCCTGAATCAGGGACATCAGAGAAACTCTATGCACAGGTATTTGGAAGAGACTTGGACACACCAAGGCCCTCAGAGCCATGCAAGGAGTGGGCAGCTCCACACATGTGCCCTCCTTTAACACAGCTGTGCTGGTCCATGGGGAAGATGCTGCTGTCCACAGTGCAGTGAGGTGGGTACTAGGAGACCCTAGGCCTGCTGCCAGAAAACGTGCCCTCCTCTCCTCTGGTCCCATCTCACAACTTAGGGTGGGGGGCTGGGTGCAAATGAAAAAGGAACAATGTCTTCCAAAGACATGTCCTACTTTCAGCCCTCTGGTGTTCAGAAATAAAATCCTTGGGCCAGCAGGGTTGCTCAGTTGGTTAGAGCACGAGCTCTGAGCAACAGGGTCGCCAGTTCAATTCCCACATGGGCCAGTGAGCTGCGCCCAAGCTGAGCTGCAGCTGAGCTGCCAATGGGTGGCTGGGTGGCTCAGCTGGTGAGAGCGCGGGCTCTTAACAAGGTTGCTAGTTCAACTCTTATAAGGGATGGTGGGCTGTACCTCCCCACAACTAAGACTGAACACAACACATTGAGCTGAGAGGCCACGAGCTGCTGATCGGCAGCCTGATGGCTCACTTGGTCAGAGTGCATGCTCTTAACAACAAGGTTGCCAGTTCAATTCCTGCATAGGTGGTGGGCTGTGCTCCCCCTGCAACTAGATTGAAAAAGCGGCGACTAAACTTTGAGCTGAGTTGTGCCCTTCACAACTAAGATTGAAGGACAACAACTTGACTTGGAGCTGATGGGTCCTGGAAAAACACAATGTTCCCTTCCCCAATTCTCTAACGCTGTGCCCTTCCCCAATTCCCCAATAAAATCTTTAAAAAATTCCTTGGGCTAAGGATGCCCTCAGGACTGACTGTAGAGATGGTGGCCCAGTCCAGACTGGGCAAAGGTGAGAGGGGGGCGAGGAATTGGGCAGACAGGCCCACGTCATGGGCACCTGGAAAAGGCAATGCTTTCAGACAATGCTGAAAGAAAAGAGGGATATTTTGGGGCACTGCAGCTAACTCATGCCGCAGGGACTGGACAGTCGTGAGACTTAAGGCATAAGTTAGGTGCAGGAAGTAGAGAATGAACAAGGTATTGTGCCCCCTTCTCCCTTTTGTCAGGGCATATACAGGTGCCCACATGGACACACACTGCCCACCCCACACTCCCTACAGTCCTGATCTTCCACACAGCTATATGCTAGGGCCTGGGACATTACCCAAGACATACTAACTGTTCAACAACATACACATACACATAACACCCCATAACCTTCACGTGCACATGTGTGTGGGCACATACACTCACTCCTTGGTACCCCCCAAATTGCCTTGCCCTTCTCCCCTGTGCCTGCTGCTCTTCAGGCCACATGTTTTGGGTTCCCTCCTGCTTACAAAATTGAGAAGTGGTCTCCTTCTGAGATTAATATGAACAAAAAAATGTCAAAATTTAGAACACAACACTCCAATGTTCTTAAACAATTACAAGTGAATATATGATTTTAGAGCAAGTCAAATATTCTATAGTATAGACTTTTCATCTGTTGTTTCTATAATGTCCAAATATAAAACTCAGGTTGACTCCTAGCAAACCTTATTGCCATTCATGTGGACAGCAGTGAGTGGCAGAGGATTCAGGGAGTGCACAGTGGGACATTGCTGCTCTTGGAAGACCAGGTGAGTCAGCCTGTCAATGGAGAATCACCCTTTATGTTTCTTCAGAGTTTCTGAATCTATTTAATGCTGTCTAAGAATTGTAACAGTACCCAAAGTACTCCAAACACCCACGCACAGTGACCTTCCTACAGCTGCCAGTGGGGCTCAGGTGCCACATCCACCCACAGTGAGGAAACTGAGGCCCTGAGAAGGGAATGACTTGCCACACGTCCTCCACTAGCCAGTGGCAGAATGCGGATCAGACCCAGGGAGGTCAGCCTCTAAGCCCAGGCCCTACACTTTAGGCTGGGCTGCCGGCTTTTAGGGCAGCATTTCTTGTTTTTTTTATTATACATGAGCATCTAGAAGTGCTGGTGGGTCTCATGTGGGAGAGCAGCCTGGAGGGTATGGCCAACTCAGGAGCCCAGCGTCCACCTGTGTTAGCTTGTTGTCTCCCTAGAAGGGCTCCCCAGCCTGACCAGGCAGCCCTTCTCTGCGATGTTACACATCCTTCCACCAGAGGCACCCGAGCATCCAGGGGAGACAGGTACCCTGGAAAGCACTGAGTTCTCTGAACACACAATACAGCATCGTTAAATGCTGTATTGTCAAATACCAAGAAAGACTTTTGAACCAAACAGGAAACAAATTCTCTAAGCAAGCCAAAATGGTGCCACACAATTCATAATAGAAATTACCTGCATTTCCCTCATAAAGGTGCCCTCTGCCAGAGTCCATTTGTGCTTTTAGAGCAGTCCTGCTTGTGGGGAGCCGGCTGGGATCGGCCAGGGACACTGAGGCTTTAAGCTGGCAAGCTACAGGCCTCCATGTTAGGGTGAGCATCTGGAGAGCAGTTTAAAAGTTAGAGACCAGAGCTGCAGTAAGGGTTAAGCCTGACAGCTGGCAAGCTGACAGGCTCTCAGGCCCGGGTGAGCAGCGTGGGAAGGTCGCTGGATAGAATAGCCAACGTCACAGACAACCTTGAAAGTTACAGACTGGAATGCCATCCTGTTAACAGTTTCTACTTGCTGTTTTGTCTCACTTTGGAGAGCTTGCTCCCAAAACCCCCTACCTAAGGAAAGCTTCTTTGCTATAAAAGCTGTGTACAAACAGTAAACGAGGCCACTCTCTTCCATCAGCACTGAGTGGACCTCCTGCCCCCAGCTTTTTGTCTCTAATCTGTTTATTTCTTGTCTCCCACCTAATCCTCTCAGGTGCGTTCGGTTGAGTGAGCTGGTCTTGTTCACCTGCTCTTGGCTTTCCTTGTGCAAAGCATCTTAGAATGAACAACTTGTCCAGGGCCCCATAAGCCCCGCCTCACAAACAGCAAGAGGTGACAGACCAGAAAAATTTCACCACCAGGTAGGAGATACAAGTATAAGAAGCAGACACAAGAACTCTAACAGTGTAGAACTGATGGCCAATCAAATGACCCCACAACTCTCCAGATTCTCTAAAAGCTGTATGTTAGTGTTCCTTCTTTGTTCCTTCAATCACACTGTCATTGGAGATTTATTGAGAGCCCATCACATGCCAGGTTATTTACATTCATTATTCCAGTCAGTCCTCATGTAACCTCGTGGTTATCCTACTTTACAGTAAGTGAGCCAATGTTCAGAGGGTTACCTGCTCACAGCTCCACACTGGCAGGGAGGAATCTCCCCTCTAGGTCTGGGGGCTCCAGTGCCCAGAGTGTCCCCCTTGCACTTGCTGCCTCCCACCAGGGCTGGGGCCTAAGACTGAGGAGGGCAGCCTGAGTCTTCAAGGAAAAGCAAACCATTATCTGTGAATTGTGCTTAAGATGACATAATATTAGAATACTTTTATAATATTTTTAACATACCTTATGAGAAGCACTTAAATAAAGGCTTTATTATAAAAATCAACTTATTTGGATGTTTATTCCTTATGCATCATGGATTTTGAATAAAGCATTATTTAATGACTTTAAAATCATTATTCAGAGCTGGGCCTGTAAGAAGAGTTCATATGCCATATACAGTCTGTGCTCATCTGTCGAGAAGGTGATGAGGACACCACACTCCTTAAGGGTTTCTGAGAAACCTACTGGCCAATTCATTCACAGGAAGTTAAAGGCTAACTGTAAGTTGATTCTCTTCTGAGGAAAAAAATGTCTTCTGGATGCTGCAAGATCCTAGGTGGCCAGATTCTGGTTTTAATGAAGGAGAAATACACAGCACATCCTGACCAGGAGAAGAACGTGGTATTGTTCTGGATGTGTGCTTGTGTCACTACCACATTATGTCCAACAGCCCCTTCCAAATTAAGTACAAAAGGTGAGGTGAGAAACAGGACCACAACTGAGAAAATGGAGAAGAGTCAAGGTCTCAAAATTTATCTCTCCATGGAGAATGCAGATGGAGAACATGGTATGGGGACCAGTTCTGCCTAGATGAAGTTTCTTACTAATGTTTAATTTCTTCTGCATAGGTAGAAACAGGAAAAAAAAAAGTAACTTGCACATAGTTGTCAAAGCAACAGCAGCACTTTCTGAACTGTTGGAATCCATAGGAAAGAAATCAGTTTTCACTTGCCTTGCCCCCAGTCCTGCTCAGACAACTTGTCGGAGGGTCAGGAGCCTCCCTTTTACCAAATAGAGCTTCTTCCATCCAGGATGGCTTTACAGAGGCTACTTGGTAGAACAGACCAGTATTCTTACATCATAGGTCCTGGATGTCATGCCCGCTACTCTGGGTCCCCTGAAGGCCCCATGAGGGCACAGGGAAGTCCTGTATTTGGACAAGCTCTTCTGATAAACACCATATCCTAAAGTAAGTGCCACAGGCTGAAAGTGTGCTGTGTACACACCAGTGCCACTGTCACCTGCTAAGAACACAGAGACTGTGGACACCTCAGCCTACATGAGTGTACTGGAGTTGCCTTGATGGCCAGGCCATCTATATCAGCCCCCTCCCTTCACCCACACAGCCCTGACCCTACCTCATTGATGGCCAGCTGCTCTCCGCCCCCTCCAGAGTGGCTGTAGTGGTGGCTGGAGCTGTGCATATCCTCATATAGGTCCTCCTCACTCCCTGTCTCATCAGCACAGACGGCCATGTCCAGAGCTCCATCAGGGATGGCTGGAAAGAGAGAGACCAGCTGGCAAAGAGGAGCTGAGGGAGAGGGATACACAGAAAAGGACGGGAACCTTTGCAGGATAAACACTTCTTCTTTGAGAGGACGGAGAAGATCTGAAACTAGTTTCTCAAAACATTCTTGCTGCAAAAACGTGGTCTGGTTGAAAGAGTGCACTGGTCGACTTTCACACCAATCATTTTAATCACCTACTTGTTCAGTCCCCACCAACTCCGTAAACCAGGAAACACAAATAACTGCCATAGCAGGACACTCAGAGTCCCTGGCAGGTGAAACTCAAAACCATTAACCAATGTGCCAGGTATAGTTTAAGGCCCTTAAGAAAAATGCTAACAACTTATTATGAAATATATACAGTATATCCAAAGAAATATACAGTATATATGAGGTCAGACAATTAAGTTCATGAATTTGTTGCAATGATGTTGCTAACCTTTTTTGATATCAGAAAAATTATTCATTATTAATTTGTACCAACTGGACAGTTAACCAAATTTACTATTTGGAAGTGCTGAAAAGGCTGCATGAAAAATTTAGACGACTTGAATTTTTGCCAACAATTCATGGCTCTTGGATCACTACAATGCACCAAGCTCACACAGCACTGTCTGTGAGAGAGTTTTTAGCCAGTAAACAAATAATTGTATTGGAACTCCCCCCCCCACTCACCTGATCTGACCCCCAACGACTTGTTTCTTTACCCAAAGATAAAGGAAATATTGAAAGGAAAATATTTTGATGATATTCAGGACACCAAGGGTAATACGACGACAGCTCTGATGGCCATTCCAGAAAAAGAGTTCCAAAATTGCTTTGAAGGGTGGACTAGACGCTGGCACCAGTGATAAGCTTCCCAAGGAGAGTACTTTGAAGATGACTGTAGTGATATTCAGCAATGAGGTATGTAGCACTTTTTCTAGGATGAATTCGCAAACTTAATTGTCTGACCTCATACATGCAAACATAGTTTGAAAATTAATAAAATAAACACCCATGGTTTGTTAAACATCCTGTTTAACAAAAATACCAGAACCTTAGATTTCAACCTCCTGTTAACCTCACTCTAATCCTATTCCCTTCTATCTCTTTTAGAGAAATATCCAAAATTTGTAACTTTTTATAAATCACACCTGTGCTTGTCTTTGTTTCAGCATTTGCTTCTGTTGAGTTTTGCATGGTTTAACCTTATAAAAATGGAACCATCCCCAGTAGCTTTTCTTCTCTGACTGGCATATTTTTTTAAGATTTTTTTTTTAATTGGGGAATTGGGGGATGGGAACAGTGCTGGGGAATCGGGGGGAGGGGAACAGACAAGTTGCTGTCCTTTTGTTCTTCAGCCTGGTTGTGGAGGACGTTGCTTCACTGGCCCAAGTTGGCACCATCATTGCGCTCTTCCTGGGTGAGGCAGATCAGTCGCCGGCCTCTGGACGGCCGCTCACAGCAGCTCTTGGCAGTTCACATTGGCTGCCGGCTGCTCATGCTGGCTGCCGGCCACACACGGTAGCTTATGGAAGCCCATTGCAGCTTCACTGCAGACTACGCCGTCGCCGGCAACTCACAGCAGCCCAGCTCCAGGTCGAGCTGTTGTTCACCATTTTAGCTGTAGAGGACAGTGTCACTGGCCCTTATGTGGGATCCGAACCGGGGCCCTGATGCTCAGAGCCAGCATCCCAAGCCAGCTCTTAACCAATGAGCCACTCGGCTGGCCCTCTGACTGGCTTTTTTTATTCAGCTTCTCATGTGCTGTGATTGATTCATTCTCTTTGATGTACAGTCTTGCATTTCATGAATATTTCAAATTTTACGTATCTATGGTACTGGTGGAGAACAGTGGGCTGTTTCCTGTCTTGTGGCTGGTATGAGTGGTGATGCTCCAGGCTTAACTACACACCTCCCGGGCACATACCTGAGTTTCTCTCAGACAGTGTTTTGCAACCTCTTTTTCATTATCACCCCCCTAAAGAACCTCTTATACATTGTTTTCCTAATCCTCCTAATGAAATTTTAATACCACAAATATGCTATATATTTTTTATGATCTGTGGCTCCTGGAGGGCCATAAATCATTGTAATATTTAAGATTTTTGTCCTCTTTGGTGAAATCAAAATCACTGGTATGAATTAATGCTGTAGAGTATAGACACCTAGGTGTGGCATCCCTGGGTCCCAGGGGCACCAAACTGTTTCCCAAAGTTATTCTACCAATTTAGACTTCTGACAGTATGTATAAATGTTCCCACTGTGAAAATTAATAAACAGAAACCTCACTTAAAGTGGATTTGGGAGGTTAGAAGAGAGAACTCTTACACATGTCACTCAACACACTACTGACCCCAACAGTAAGAGACACACCTTGCATTTGGCAGGGAGTGATACTACTTTACTACCTCAGCAGGAGGGAAAAAAAGAGTCCTCCTGCTCCACTAACAGCTCAGACAACAGAATGCCAATGAAAAGTCACTATACTTGAAACTTTCAGTTTCCTCCAATGGACTCTTTGTTTACAACAGTCCCTCCCAAGCCCATAAAAGAGCATGCCTCTCCTTTGTTTCTCTGGGCTTACATGTGGTTTGCTATTAGATGGCATGTCCCAAATGCAGTTCTTTATTGTTCCTGAATAAATCCATTTTACTGGCAAATATTTGTCTGTCTATTTGTTTAAGGTCAACATTATTTGGTGGTTCATTTGGGGATCCAAGAAGACCCCTGACAGCTGATGAGTAAACAAGTGTGGTACCCACAGAGCCTACTGAGCTCACCGCTTCCTCGCTGACCCTGGAGTCTGAGGATAAGTCTATCTTCTGGATCCAAGCTTCTACTCTCTTTGATGCTCACCAGGCTCTATTTAGCAATCTAACTTAAGGCTTCATCCTTTTCTGGTTAAAGCCTGTTTTGTCCACAAATATTCAGTGGGCTCTTTGGCTTGAATCTTTTGATACCTGGCTGTTCCACTGGCACTGTGCTGTTCAGTCTTTGGCCCAATTCCTTTTGAAACCAGCATGTTCCTAGTAAAACTGTACTGATATTTGGTCTGCAGGCTGTTTAGTCTTTTCCTCTAGAGATCTATGTTTAGAGACCGTTATTCTTCCTCATGCACAATTCTAACTAAATATATCGATTTGACCAAAAGTTATTGAGAATAACAATTGCCATTATGACGAAATTTTGCCCTTCCCAAACTTATTTTTCTTAAAATTGAATTGGACAACTTGATTCTGAAATTGTCAAAACTGAAATGGAACACCTATTTTTATTGGTATTTTGAGGCTTCCAAACTACCAAGAGTCTAAAATTGCCTCTTTGCAAAATAAAAATTTAAGATTAACTGAAGCAAACAAAAGATTAAAGGAAGACAAATGGCTCCAGAAGCCTCTCCCCATCTCCTTTGTCTCAGATTCTGCTTCTGGTGCCATCTTCCTCCTCCTCTGAACCTATCAGAACCTGTCCCTTTAAAATTAAGCCTTCTGAGGATTGAAAGGCTAAACCACTAATTTCTTATATCCTCTAGACAAAAGCTGAACTGTGATCCATAGTTAAAAATCTTCCCAAAGTAACTGAGGATCTCCACAGATTTGCTGAGGATTTTAGTATAGTCATTCCAACTTATCAACCTGGTTTCTCCAACTACATCAGCTAGTTCATATGTTTGTCAGTAAAGGCCAGGTTCAGCCTTGGATAAAAACTGCTTATTGGGAAAATCCTAAAGGTTTCTAGGATTACGAGCAGGAGACCAACCCACCGATATATATGATTAAGCTTGGGCAATTGCTAAGTAACTTCATCAGGTAGTTTGGTCTTTCCCAAAGCCTGTTGATTGAAACAAAATTCAGGCTTGCTCATGAGCATGAACCTGTTCATAACAATTATAATTGACTTAAGATTCTTTTCAAAGAAAATTCTGGTCTTCCTTCAGATGGTGATTCCACCTGGGCAGTTTATTTATGGGCTGAACTGAGACCTTTCTATTTAAGTTAAAAGGACAAGTGTGGAATGGAAAGCCATGTCCACTCTAGATTTGGTCAATTTGGCAAATCAGCTTGCTCACACCCTCGATGAGTCATCTGAAAGAAAAAACACTAATATTCTTAATTTTCAACTCCAGCAAATGAAAGTCCTTATATGAAACCAAAACCTTCTTTGCTTTTCCTCCCAAGTCTCCTCACAGGAAGAGAGTATCCACTTGCTAAAGCTTTTAGTCTTTAAGGGACATAAGGTCGCCACAGAAAAATTGCAGTTTGCTCAAACCCAAGTTAAATATTTAGGATATCTGATATCAGAACAAGAGCTGCACCTAGATCCAGATAGGCTTCATGGTGTCCTACGTTTTCCAAAACCCAAAACTAAGCATCAACTGTGAGATTTTCTTGGGCTAGTTGGTTACTGCCAAAATTTGACCCAAATTTCTCTCTTATGCCCAAACCTCTGTGTGTTTTACTAAAGAAAGACAACCCTGGCCCAATTTTATGGGAAGAAGAGGACAACATATCTTTCAAAGCCTTAAAGGAGGATTTAATGAACCCACCTGTCCTTGGGCATTCCAGCTATCAGATTCCATTTTTCCTTTTTGTATATAAAAATGAAAGGAATGCCCTTGGGGTATTCACCCGCAAAACATGGGGAGCACCATTGACCCATCAGGTATTATGTCAGTAACTAGACACTGTGGCATAAGGATATCTTCCTTGCCTTTGAGCCATTACTGCCACTCCCTTTTTATTTAAGGCCTCTGAGGAAATCATTGTGGAATCCCCTTTAACCAACTTTGTACCCCATGTAGTAGAAGCCTTCCTGATTTCTCATCATACACAACATTTTTCAGTCAGCCACCTGACCTCCTATGGAATCCTTTTGTTAACTGCTCCTCGTATAACTCTTTCATGTTGTAATAAATTTAATCCTAATACTCTACTCCCCTTTGTTACCAACAAATCCCCTCACAACTGTTTACCACTGATGGGACACCTCCTGACCCCGGTGATGATTT